AATCAAAGCAAAGAGTGCGACGAAAAGCAAAGCGAATTTCATTTTGGTGGTGATATTTTGGTTTACAATTGAAACTGTAGCTGAATTATTATCAAATGATAACTGATGCCAATTGAAGATTTCCAATAGCTTTATATACCCAAAAACTTCCTTTGCAACCGCACTAATCGAGGTCATGTTTACTCTTCGATTGAATTGTTTCAATGAAACAGATGAACATAGAACAAAAGATGCTTCATCAATAGATGCATTGTCATTGTAAAGCAATTCTTTGAACAGACATTTATCTATGCACCGCTTTGTGCATAAAATGTGTTTTTGTGCGGTATTCAATGCCGCTATTGAGTCAATTATTTATAAGTAAATCAATTAATGAAAGGTCTTTTTGAAATGAATGAATGGAACTGACACATTGTTTTAATAAAAAAATAAGATTGTTTTAAAATTGATTGTTCATATTTTTTTTATTTTAACCAAAAGAGCTTCGGAAATCTGTTTACAACATTAAGCTTTATTATTGTATAAAACTGATTGTTACATTTAAATGGTGACACTATTCGCAGAGAAATTCTCTTTAAATTTATAGTTTTGACTTGTAATTTTTAATATTCTCGCGTAAAACTCGTCGTAAAATTTTTCCACTTGGATTTTTGGGTATGGCATCAACAAACATGACGCCACCATGAAGACGTTTCGGGTTTGATAGCCGCTCTGAAATGGAATAATTCAATAATTTTTCTAAGTTTTTCAATCATAAGCTAAATTGAATATACCTGCAACGTAATTGATAACATCTATTTCCTTGATTTGAGCGTTTGGTTGTTTAACGACAAACGCAAATGCCACTTCTCCCGTCAATTCATTCGGCACGCCAATAACACCAGCATCTCTTATTTCGGGATGCGTTAGAAGAAAGGCTTCAACTTCAGCCGGTGGCACTTGAAATGATTTGTATTTAATAAGTTCTTTGAGTCGATCCACAACATACCTATGGGGAGAATCACAAAAGAAAAGAATACAATTAATTTGAAATAATCGACAAATAATCGACAAATAATCGAAAAAGAATCAATAAGAATTGATTAATAATAGAAAGGCAACTTTTAAGTGAATTGCCCCTCAACATACCACTCGCCCTTTTCATCATAGTAGCCAATATCACCGGTTCTCATCCATCCATCGGCATCAATTGTTTCATCGGTGGCTTTTTTATTCCCAATGTAACCTTTCATGACACTCGGCCCTTTGACGTGAATTTCACCTTTTTGTCTTGGACCTAACCATTTGCCACTGTTTACATCAACAACACGTGCATAAAGACCTTTTACCAAAACGCCAACTGAACCGTTTGTATGATGTTCATCATCTTGTTGGCAAATTACCAACGTTGATTCGGTTAGGCCATAGCCTTGTCGTACAACTTTGAAACCAATTCGATTTTTTACTTCAGTTTCGATTTCCTTACCCAGTGGAGCAGCGCCATAAGCTGCCACATGCCATGAGCTAAGATCATATTTTGGAACCAACGATGATTTTGCTAAAAGAACCATAATAGCTGGAACTAAACTGACAGTTGTCACTCGGTATTTCTAAAATATTTGAATTCTTATTTGAGTCGAATTATTGTTGTGTTGCCATTCCATCCAATTACCTGAATGCATCCTAAAAATTCCTCTTCGGTAAATCGTGACATTAAAATGGTTTTTATGATGTACGTCCCTCGGGCCAGAAATCGAATGATATATGTTACCATTCCAAATGAGTGGAACATTGGAATATTTCCTAAAATTATACTTTCTCCACTTGCCGGCGTTTCCAAAGATTGCAAACGCCCACTTAAAAAGAAATGTTCACATTTTAATCGGCATATCAGGTTATGTTCTAGTAATGTCTTCGTATCACTTACTGGGATTGAACACTTGTAATGAAAAGATTGAACTGAGTTAGTTGCACGCCCTTAGGTAAACCTTTGGAAAAAAATTAGATAAAATACGTATACATTAAAAAAATGAACATTACTAGGGTCAGTGAATGAATTACCAGTTGTGCCCGATGAGCACATAATCAGCGCAACGTTTTCTTTCACATTTTGTGGTTCGCATTTGAAATGCTCCAATTGGGAATTGGTCAACTGACAATCAGTAATTTGATTGAAAGATATTGCTTTTTGATTTTCCGTATTACAGCCATCTGCATACAAAATGATTTGTTCGACAAAATTCACCTTTTGAGAAACAGCGGCAATTGTTTTTGAGTTTTTCGGCGATACAAAAATTACTCTTGGCTTTGATAATTTTATTGCATGAGCCATTTCATCTGGAACGAAATAAACATGTAAGAATTTATTTTAATTTTTATTTTGAGATAGTAATTAGTAGAGTAACTTACATTCACCGTAACTGTGATTGAGCGGAGCAACTGTGGCACCGAGAAAAAGTGTCGCATGAATGGTAATGGCCAACTCAATTCGATTTTCACTACAAATTGAAATGACATCGCCTGACTTAACGCCAAACTTTTCTTGTAAATATTGTGCCAAACATATTGCCTTCGATATGAATGTTTGTGCGTTAATCTCTTCGCCGGTTAATCCATCAACCTATTTAGGTTTAAATTTTATTGAAAATCATTGACATTTTGTACAAAAACAACAACTTACCAAAATAATTCTTTGTCCAGCGGCGCGTAATTTATTTAATAGCGCTTCACCTAATGATCGAGCACCTTGATAGATTTCTTCTTCAGAACCTTCATATCCACCGTACAGAATATTATTCATTGTTTTAAAACTCTATACAACGTTTATCAATGCAACGTAAAATACGTATTTATTTTTTTTATCTGTTACAAATGTCAAACTGACAATAGAAGAAGATATTTATTATATAAACGCCTCAGAGCAAAACTAGTTACTAAATGTAATCTTCAGCACGTTTGAGATGTCAAAAATTTACTGCATGAGATTCATCATTACACTTTACCCAAAACCATTAAATTGAGTGTTAAGGAAATATTTTCAATAGATGGCATAATTACCACTTATAAATACTCTATGAATATTATGAGTTTCGGTTTTTATGTGCCATATATATAAAATATTTTTTAAAACGTTTTTTTGAACATTTTTAATTAGGTAAATTTTTTAAAAAATGGCTAACTTGAGTCAAAACGAATCATTTTATTTTTGAAATCATTTTTTTATTTTTTATTCCTCCCATTTTTCAATTTTCATATTAAAAATTTTCTTCAATGAATTGTTCGAAATTTGTCATCGCCTTGAATGTAGTTTTGTATTCTTTCTTTTCTTGATCTTCCGTTTTGTTAAATTATTAATTTCTTCATTATCACCGTTTCGTAGCTGTTGATTCCACATATCAGCATAAATACCTAGTAAAAGGATACATGATATAAACAACCATAAATTTTGCGGATAATTGAAATCTTCTTACCATTTCTATTCAAGAGTGCCTCATGTCGACCCCGTTCAACGATTTCACCTTCTTTCAGCACCAAAATTTCATCAGCGTGTATAATTGTTGATAGACGATGTGCCACTATGATCGTTGTTCGATTTGCACAGACCTTCGACAAAGCGGCTTGAATATTTCGTTCAGTCTGTGTGTCCAGTGCACTTGTCGCTTCGTCTAATAATACAATGGCGGGCGCCTTAAGAATTGTTCGGGCTGCAATTTAAATTCAGATAGTTCAGTGTGTTACGTCAGTTAAATACACATATATTGACCATTCTAATCAATTACAAACCTATGGCAACTCTTTGTTTTTCACCGCCACTCAAGCGTAAACCTCTTTCGCCAACTTGAGTGTCGTATTTTTCTGGGAAATTGACAATTTTATCATGAATATCAGCAGCACGAGCAGCCGAAATTACATCCGATTCACATGCATCCAGTCGCCCATATTGTATGTTATATTTGATCGAATTATTAAAAAGAACGGTATCTTGTGGGACGACTCCAATTGCTCGACGCAATGAACTTTGTTGAACGTTTTTAATATTTTCACCATCCACACATATTGTTCCGCCGTGGATGTCATAGAATCTAAACAAAAGACGAATGATTGTACTTTTGCCAGAGCCTGAAAAAATTTGGAATTTTTAATGAAATTTGCTCTAATATCCATACTAAGAAAAATTATAATTGTAACTTACCGGATGGACCAACGAGAGCAATAGTTTTTCCTTTCGGAACAGAAAACGAGATATTCTTCAAAATCATTCGATCTGGAGTGTAGCCGAATGTAACATTCGAAAATTCTATTGATCCCTGAACCGACGTAAGAGCACGTGCATTTGGTGCATCGACAACTTCTGGCTCTTCTTCCATAACATCAAACATACGTTCCATGTCGACGAAATTTGATTGTAGATCGCTGAAAATGTAGAAATTCAATGTAATTTGGTCGTAAGAAAATATCAGATGAAATTAAGACTTACCTATAAATGTTTACAATCCAATTTAGGGGCCAGTACAACTGGTACATGTATGATGCGAAAAAAGCATACTTTCCAGGTTCAAGCGTACGTTTTATTAAATTAAATAAGCGCAAAGAATTGATCCAGCAAGTAATCCACCAGTAATTATGAGCTCTTTTACCATATATGAAACCTCATTTATTAACATAAAACTGCGTTGTTCTTTCATAGAGTTTAAAGTTGCTTTACGATATGATTTCACTTCATATTTTTCTGCTCCAAAATACTTCACTATCTGAACATTCAGCAATGAATCAATACCACGGTATCTTTCAGAACTGGAATTCATACGTCTTTGGACATTTGTTTGCCATTCTATCAGCAATACTGTCACCACTGAAAATGAATAAACGAAAAGAAAATAAATAACAAAACGTTGAATCGTTTTACCCACCCGTATAAAGAACCGCTGTAACGACAGAGATAACACCAAAATACCAATTGAATGTGTTTGAGAAGAAAATAACACCAACCACAATATCGATAAATGTTGGAACAATTAAGAATAGGACATATCCGACAATATTTCCAAATGATCCCGTTCCACTGTACATAATGTTAACAACTTCTCCGGCATTCCGATCCAAATTCCATCTCAGCGACAAGTTGTGTATGTGTGAAAATAGTTCAACTTCAATTTCACACCTTATATTCTGCTCAATTTTAGTCCATATAGCTGATCTTAAGGGTGGCAAAAGGTTATATAGTAAAAATTGGACGCCAAAATAAATCAATATTCTATCCCAACAAAATATTTTCTCTTCGAGATTGTCAACTACAATGAAAATAAACATTAAGCAAATTTTTAAAAAATGAATATATTAAATGTGAGTCATACCTATCGCTTGATTGTTGAGTGGTACGAGTACATTAAAAAAACGTTCTACTATGAGGAATACCATACATAAGAGCAAACCCAAACGTAGCGCAAGACTATTCTTTGGCCATAAAAATGGTAACAACGTTCGCATTCTTCTCCATCCATTGGTCCAAGTAGAATTTTTCACCTTTTGAAGCAAAAAGAGATCGGAAAAAAAATGTCAATTTAACAAAAAATAAACTTACTTCTTTTTCGTCGTTTTTGAGAATGATTTCATTATCTACACCATTTAACAATATTCCGCCATATATTGCTTTAAAACCAATCACAAAAATTACGATACAATACGAATAGCGCATCACACACATCAACATCTCAACGTTTCTATGTAGCGTTGAAGATTCATGAATCCACCACATTTCCTTTTTCAAGTTCATTATCGAGATGTTTTCATTGATAAAAACAAGCGTTCAAAATATGATCAAAACTAGGCCATGTCCTCTCGTCGGGACCGACGAAAGCATGTAAAATCTTTCTTTCAATATAAGCCGAATTGAAAGTAAGAAAGAGAGGCACGTTAATGACGAAACCACAGTACAACAAACAAATTTAAGTTTTTTAATATTTAATTTATTTTACCAAATGTTTTAATGGTTGAAAAATTAATATTACCGTGTATCCATGAAAATGAGCGTCTGGAAATAGGAACCTCAAGACTGACAGCGATGGAATTATTATCAACAGAATTAATTGTAAACAGTATAACTTCGATGTGGATATTTGTGATGAGTCTCCATTTGGTATTTTATATTTTCGGTACATAATTAACTGAACCGTTCCTAATATCACAATAAATTCAGCCAACACAGACGAGCTCATGGTACCAAGAAAATAATGGTCCACCCAAATGTCGTGAATCGTCACATTTGATGGACAATATGAAAGATTTTTCAGAGCGTCCATACTTTCAATGTATTTAAAAGATTATAGAATTCCGTCTATTGAAAAAACATCTGTTCTGAACGCCACTTTAAGTCGAACTGAATTCAAATCAATGTAAACTCTCAAAATATATATTATGCATGATTCATTGATATGATTTCATCATACCGGTTATGCATTAATATGTTAAATGCTACCAGGCTATCCATTATTATTGTATACGTAATAGATATTAAGTCATTTTTATTGGAACAAAACGGAAAGTCCACAAAAACAAAACTCCAGCTTAATTATTCGCCGAATTTTATAAGTGTATTTGTTGTTTTATCAATATGATGTTGTTGTTTTTATCAATACGTGCATGGTGTTGTCATCTCATTTCTGCTGTCTGAAATTTGCTATTCTCGGTCGTGTTGTTGATGAATGGCAATCAAAAACTGTATCAAGCAGGTTCAATAACTTAATTGACGTTATTATTTATAAGGATGACTAATTTTGGTAAAAAGTTAAAGAATTTCAACGTATGCGTAAATTTGACACGATATTTTTTTTATATATAAACTTTTTTAATATTTCTTTTGGCACATTTTTTTTACGATAATACATATTAATATACTATCAATAATGTATTGCTGAAATTGCGCGTAAAAAGACACTTTTTAATTAGTTAGTAAGGAAATGATATAAAAAATACATTTGATTTCTTTGAATTTCATAAATTAAATCGAATATTTTATTTCAGGCCATTTTATAAATAAGTGAATGAATTTTATGCGAATCGTTTTTATATTGGTCGGTCGGTCAACGCTATTTTATGTGAACAAAATTAGCAGGAGCAGCCTGATGATCTTTT